CGATTGTATCGCGTCCTCCTAATAAGTTTTATCCACAATCCATTTCTTGATTCCGTTAAGACGGTTATTATACTTCTAGCATAAATGGAGTACCAGATGCAGTAGAGGACGTTGAAGTCAATCACGGTTAATTAAAGTCGATCTTCAGCAATACCAGCTTGATTGATGAAGAGCACCCTTTTCAAGAATATTGTTGAGATGCAGTTGGGAACAAGGTATCGCGCTCATTGTCTTATTGACTGCCGAAAGACAAATTGAGCGGAGGCTAATGTCCTAAGAGGGTTGTCGCGGCACGCCGTTAACTACCCATCAGACAATGGAAGGTTAGCTGTTCTCTACAGTTTATCTTTTGATTATTCTGCTAATTACCATGACGCTACTTTTCTCTCTCCAGCCCACCACCGTAGATTAATGGAAAGGAACCCTAAAATGATGGAGGGGGTTCGAGTCCTCCCAGTGGTATTCTTTTTTTTTACAGATTTGTCAAAAGCTTAGTTCGAGCCAGCGCAACAACGCCATATCTGAGCTATTGCTATCGTCTTCTGCCAAAAGCGCCTAAAAAGAGAACGCAGGTGAATCATATTGGTTATTGCGGTTATGTCGGTCAAACCGTTAAGTTTTTCGTCGCGTACTGCTTGTGCCATGCCCCGCCTTCTGTTGGCTTAGCGAGTTATATGTTTTGCCTTGTTTGAAAGCTGGATGGCTTCAGAATACGGTCGTTCAGCCTGTTATAATTTGACAATATCCACCAGTGTTTGTCGAAGCGTTTTATTTTTTTTACAAAATCGTCTTCTGACCACTGGACGAATAAATTCAAACAGTTGGTGAAGACATGGCCTCTCGTGAGTGCGTCGGAATACCCCTGAACATGATGTTATTTCGCTACGAGAATTGGCCCAAAAATGTTTACGAGCGGTTCATCAGAGTTTGTCAGTCTCCGTAAGTGCGAAAGTTGATATCACCCGAACAACAGCAGAATACTGGTCCCACTGAAGTCTGTGAGAAACGATTGTGGTATCTTGTGCGAACAGAAAGGTGATAGCTTTAGCGGAAGCGTTCCACCAGGAAGTAGCTTCATGAAAACGATCAATAAATCTCATGTTGAGGTTTCCAGCCACCGTGTTATTTTCGCATGGATGCCTGTAGCGGTGAACGTGTCGTGACGGCCAAACTGAACATGTCGATCCGTCCAGCACTTGACTATCCTGTTTTATATACGCTCTAGATACCCAGCGGTAGAGCTGCTCAGGCCTCGAAAAATCGCACAATGCTCTTCAAATTGAGAATACGTCGATCCGTCCAGCACTAGACTTTCCTGGTTTTATACTTCCACCAAGTATGCTCTAGTTCATCAACGGTAGAGCTGCTAAGGCCACGTAAAACAGCAACAATGCTCTTAGAATTCAGACACCGACTCAGACAAAGTTGCTTCAATATACTTAGCCGTGAATACATCCATCTCCACTGAATTGTGTTTCATTTCACCGCTCGGTCCTGGTCGAGATAGACATATAGTCCCGAGGTCGTCTTGCACGCGCGCCAGAACATTTCGGTCGACGTGCACTCGACACAGGATTTTAGGGATCTCAGGATACTCAGCATCGCTCGCATTCATACACACAAGGACTCGGTCCGTTACGAGGCGTTGATGCAATAGCAGGC